TAAACAAAATTATTTTTGAAATATAAACTGTTGAAACATGCCTGTTGGACCGTAACGAGAAACAATATAATTGATAGAGACATGTGGCCCTCATAAGATTATGTTGTTTAAAACAACATAATAAAAAAAATTTTTCAATTTACTTTATATTTATTTGAAATGTAAATTTCGAAAATTTAAATTTATTTTAAATATAAATTTTCGGTATAACAAAAATTTACGTTTTCTTTTAATCTTAATTCGGAAAATTGAAGCTTATTATAGTATAAATTTTGTTTTGGCAAAAATTTACATTTATTTTAAATTTAAATTTTTCAAAATTTACGACTCATTGTACGTCATGTACACAAACATGCAATTGATTGTGAAATGGCAATTAGATCTAATAAAGAAAAGTGAATTCTGATACCAAGAATTACTTTGACACCGTCTGATCCAATTTTGCCGTCTAAATTACGCAAACATCAGTTTCCAGTTCGACTATTATCTGCTATGACAATCAAAAAATCGCAAAGACAAACATTTGATCCATTAGGACTACTTCGATCACAACCGGTTTTCAGTGACGGACAACTGTACTTTGCTTTTTCAAGAGTTTCCTCTCTGACGTCTATCAACGTACAAATCGTCAAAGAAGAAAAAGTAGTGGAAGAAACAAAAACTAAAAGCATTCTTTTCAAAGAAATTTTGTAAATGTCTTGTCTCAAAATAAGATAAAAACTGTGCAGATGAATTGTTTTTACAGAACAGAGATGAAGATATCAATTCCATCTTTGATAATTCCTTCATCACCACGAGAAACTTGCTTTCGATGACGCGAAACGGCTCTGCAGCATGTATTGGTTCTCGCTAGTGATACATATTCAGATTGTGGGTGTAGGTTCGGATGAGAGCTTAGTTCTATTACAACCACACATACCTACATTCACACACTTGAAAAAAAATGTATTTTATTTTATCAAAATAAGAAGGACAAATCTTTGAACTTATTTTGGTGATCTTTAGATTTTAGCAGTTTCCTTCAATCAACTTTTAACATAGTGAATTTCAGCAATTTGTACTAGAACAGCATTTATTTAGTCCATTGATATGTATGATTAGTTTTCATAATAAACTTGAATACGTTTTTTTTTTCATGTCATTTACAAATGCTTCATTAACAAAGATTGATGTAGACCGATCGGCTGAAATTATGTCGTTGCTAGTCTATGCGTTGACTTCTATTGCAATTGACGATTATCAACTTACTCTTTGATAATATTAAAGAGTTTTCAAGTCAAATAGTTTTGTATTCTTTCTAATTTAATATTTTTATGTTCAGCTTTGAAACCATTCAATTAGGGTGTGGATGTGGGTGGTACACAATAGATGCTCTCCACACAGTTGCTTTCCAATCGTACCTAGCAGAGCTCTTATTGATTCCAAGAGCAATAGGGTGTGGGTAGGATCCAGGTCCAAAAAGCTTTCATATATTGGGTCCGAGCTCGAAAAACGTTTGGATCGGGTGAATCCGAATGGTATGATAAATGCATAGTTTGCACCAGTCACCGAGCGCAAAAAGATGGACAGAAATATGCAACATCGTCGGAGTGACTCTCCAATAGCAACTAAATCTCTTTCCTCAATAGAAGACCTTGAATATTAGAAGAACCACTATATCGGAAAACTCTCACTGAAGAAACAATGCTGTAGTCACACAAAAAGGCGTTCTAAATTAATTAATTTTTAGAAAAGTTCGACATTTAATAAGTGTATATATGTTAAGACTATGCCTAGTTTTTAGGACTTTGAGCTGAAAATCTTAAAAGACTAAGATCAATGTTATTTCTGAACTTGTGAAACCATGAAAATCTCTTCTCAAATCCTTAAAAACATTTTGTTTTCTGAAAAGTGCTTTCAATTAAAAGTTATAAAAACAGGATCCCGATCCAAAAAGTTTGAACCCGACACGCCGCCCACGTCCAGCTGAAATGATATTGGCCACCCGGGTATTGAAAAAAACTGATCACTGAACCCAATTCTGTTAAGTAGGTCTGGTCACTGTACGAGATTTTAGGAAAAGAACTGGTCGTGATATTCAGTTCTTGAAGCAAGACAAATTCAACCGAGCTTAACCATCGTGAGAAAAACTATTACATTTGAGAATATAGCTCAACTTTTTATTGCAGAATAATGTTATAGCGCATCTTATTTCCAAATAAGTTTATTAAAAGAATCAACAACTTCAGCATACTTTTTTTATCCTTTATACATATACTTAGGGCATACCAAAAGTAATGGCGTCATTATCTTATTTCTGTATAGAAAGCTTGAACAAATTTTCTATTTTTATGTAATAATAGAGAAAACGATGTTTTATTTTTCTATGATATTCCATTACTATTCAACTAATATCATAATAATAAAATTTCGATAAGATCTGGTTCGTTTGCATGTGAGGTGATAAGATAAATGCTCGTGAACATTTTTTGAATAACTTTTGATAGCAACAAGGTAGAGAACTGCGACTTTCACCGTTGGAAAGAGAAGATCAAGGTGAATTGAATCATATAATATAGCTTTTATAATATGATTTCTGAAGCGTTTTTTGTTCAGTTTTCTAACAGTCAGAAAAGTGATTTTTTATGAAAAAAGAAAAAAAGAGAAAAGTTGCTAGATAATCGTATTAGAGGTTCGACTAGAATACATATTCTCCTTGAGTAATTAAATATAACATCTGAGTCTTTCACAATTTGTAGGTCTTTGATTCACGGTTTGAATGTACACATGATTATTGAAAATTCACTCTAAACAGATGATAGAATGGGTTTGTTCTTTAAAAGGCCAATTGAAGACCTTAGAAAAAAACAGACCAGGAAAATCTGTAATATACGATTCGATACGTTTTCATCTCCTCTTTTCAACGGTGAAAATTGCAGTTCTCTATCTTGTTGCTATCAAAAGTTATTCAAAAAATATGAGCATTCATATAACCGCCACATATCATACCAAACAGCTCTTAGTCGAAACTCTATAGTACAAACAGTTACAAAACAGAAATTTTCATATTTTGAATCGACACGAAGCTGTGACTGAGTTAGTATAACTGAAGTAACAGATTTATTAGTAATAATAGAATTTCAAATTCATACCATTGACAAAAAAGGAAAATTCCATTTTCCAACAACCGCGTGAAGTTTACGTTGCAATAGTCAAGAAATATTTTTGGTGACCGAAACGCAGAAAAATTTCATGATCAAACATGCAAAAAGTTCACTTAGTAACAAAACTTTATTTTCTATGCATTTTACATAGTGTTCTTATTGTAAACATTGACTGTAAGGATAAGTTGCTTACAATATTTCACATGCTTCTTCTTGCTGTGAAAAACTGGCATTTTCTCATATATTCATTCATAGTAATTCTTAGTTTTCTAAAATTTCAGCTCTCTAGCTATAAATAATGCAAAGATACATAAACGAAATCAGATTATATGATTTCGTTTAACTTTATCATTGTAGCATCCTCACTTCTTGGTTAGCGCTATTTAAAAATATCTGATGAGAAAAATTTTACAAAAAGTCTCAATGATAAAACCAACGTGTGCGTGGATCCAGTTGAACACATTTATGCTGATAATCATTTGGTAAAAGAAATAAGCCACATTCATTTATTCGAAACATAACTCATCAACCAGACTGATCAAAAACTGTAATGTATAAAAGGGAATCACGAATTGTAGCGTAAAAAGGATGAAAGTTGATATTGTGTCATATCATTTATGTGAGTAACTATATTGTTTTATAGTTGTTAGAGTTTGTTTTTGACTATTAAAATAAACAACATAGGTGGACATCTTTCGACAACATTGATCTATTGGACGAAATAACGCTTTTAATGTTTTTGTGCTTGAAGCAAAAAATGTGTTGTCTTTTGCTATCCTTCTTTCGTTTTGTTTATTGACTCATTCATGTGACTGGTCGAAATAAGTTAAATTGGTTTTTTCCAAGACACTAGACACAATATTTCCACAAATAATTTTTACTATAGAAATATTACTATTACATTAAAACATAGCAAAGATGTTACCAGCTGCTTCTACTTTGTCAGTTAAAATCCCTGACGACTGTTCAATTTGTTTAAGCGCTTTAGCACCTGGTTTACCCCTTCTCACATTGTCATGTGATCATAAATTCCATTTACAATGTCTTGCATTGAATTTGAAAGCAGAACATAAGCAGTGTCCACTGTGTCGAGTCACAATCGACACAACTGTAATTCAAATGTTGACTGGTGTCAATGGTAATACAGTACCGTTAGAGCAGCAAAACTTGATGGGTCAATACGGAGCAGATTCTGTTGTAAATGATCAACACTATCAAAGATCTTTATCATCTGTCAACGTAAGTGATAAATTGGATGACTCTCTAGTTATTTGGCAATCGATAGAAGACTATCACACTTCATGAATCTCTATCTTTCTGAAAAAAAGATTTGCTGCATATTTCCTTCACATGATAAAATAGTGCTTAGAATTGTGATGAAAATCCTTGTGTTTCAGTAAGTAAATCATCGTATTATATAGGTTGTTGCTTCAGTTGAAGATCCAATTGATGAGATTGCCGTACAAGAATTCTCCGATCGTGTTTCTTCGGCTCGACAAGCTAATATCTTACCAAATGTTACCACTCTTCCTATGATCACTGTCTCGACCACGTTAGAATTTGACGGTCAATTATCTTATCAGGAATCGAATATTTATGGACTTGTTACTCTCAAAGCACCTTCAATCAGTTTCTTGTCAGGAGATAGATAGATAGCCAATACTGGTATACCAGTTTAGGCGATGAACAAAAGGAAGTTAAAATACTAAAAAGAAAACTGAAAAATACAAGGACAAGAGGACAAAACACAAACATAAAACACAAAAAAGGACTAAGACGATGACAAGGACATTTACATATATATACAAGACAAAACATAAGACAACACACTACATATAAATAAGTAACAAACCAGAGTAACTTGGAATCATAGATTAGAAAGACGTGTCTCTAGAAGAATAGATTGTTGCGACGAACATCAGTCTGTCACCTCCGAACCACAAGCGGATCCGGTTTCGGTGACAGTCATCATAAAATACAACAATCTAAACTCAGATTTCGGATCTTTAAATCTGAACTTGTTGTTCAATCAACCATGTTTTTGCGCATGCTTTGACATGCATTGTTGCACCTTGTGCTTTTAGTATTTTCCGGCACATACTATTTGGACATACATATTTGTTTTTATCTTTTTTTATTAATAGATCTATTATTTTTATATTTTTTGTGGTAGTGTTCTTGTTTGTTGTTGATGCTGTCGTTAGTTGATGCATCTCATTTGTTTTGGTATCAGTTGATGCCTTCGTTGACTGTTTTTGTATGCATACTCGTTTATGTATGTTCATACC